GTTTCAATCATCTGGTTGCATACACTGTCAAAGTGGTTTAAAATTCGCGCCAATTTCGACAGTCAGCTGAGACGCGTTACGGTTAAATTTCGCGCTCGCGCAATGCGATGTTCGCGGAGAATTTTAGTGTCGTCTGATATTCTGCCATTGACACCTATCAACCTAAACAAAAACCAAAACAAACCTCACTTTTTGAGCTAACTTGAATATGCATGAAATTCCCTCAAAAACCAATATTATTAAAAACTGCTTTCGATGTGTACACCTACAACAACAAGCCCCAATTATCATCCAAAATGCGAATATTTCAGCAATGGGGAAACAAGTTTGAGCAGCCTGGAGGCTGCTCTTGAGTTGTCCCAAAGGTCCTTTACTGACTACCTTTTCGAAAGTACTGCCAGCATTAATGCCTTCGCAATGAAAATGGGAGTATTGAGGAGCACAGTTCATCATATTGATCTTCCAAGAAAAGCGACTGTTAACAATTCCACCCTTACCACTCACGACGGGGCTCTGATCGAAGAAATGCAGCGTCAGCTAAGCGAGAGTGTTCACAAGAACAGCGTGAGAATTAGAAGATCTCTGCTGAAACTGAGCAACCTGTCGGCCCAGTACGACCTTCTGAATCGGCCCTATTATGAACTGAAAGCCTATTCGGGGCAACTTGGCCAACTCCCGAAACTACAGCAGATTGAACCTGTGGAAAAACTGTCCTATTCTGAAGCATTGGATAGTGTGGATAAAATAATGCGAGATGTTGAAACGGTAAACCACAAAACTGTTCACTTATTGAACATGGAAGACTGCTTGGAAACTTTTCTGGGAGATGGTTCTGGTGAATTGTTATCTGACGAGTATAAAAGTCTTCCGTTAACGCAGTGAATTATAGATATTTGTATGTACCTTGTGCAATTTTTTCTCCTAGTCTGCTGTCAACGTATGAAAACAGTGAATTCAGTGAAATAATAGACTGAGCATTTTAATTAACCACTACAACCCAATGGTCGTAAGTATAGTTGGTCTCAAGAATTTTGGCAGTGACGCCCCCCCCCCTTCCCTTGTGCTGGATTTTTAACGATTAACGATA